GACCAAGGCAGAGACATCTCCAGCTCATCCCCTGTTTGGGTATCAGCCAGCATGCCAACGACTTAAATCTAGACATAGTTTTCTAAGATCTACAGAGACACTCGCTGGAACACCTCAGCAAGCGAGAGTCCAAAAGTGGCAGGCCTCAAACCCAGCACCTCAACCAATGGCTGATACCAAATGAGAGACTCCCTCCTGGGCACACAGAAGACTGGGCGACTTGGAAGGCATTGAACAGACTGCGCTCTGGCACCACGAGATGCAGAGCCAACCTTCAGAAATGGGGCTACAAAGTAGAATCCTCGACATGCGAGTGTGGAGAAGAGCAAACCACTGACCACCTGCTGCAATGCAACCTGAGCCCTGCCACATGCACCATGGAGGACCTTCTTGCAGCAACACCGGAAGCACTCCAAGTGGCCAGATACTGGTCAAAGGACATTTAACCAGCTACCAAACTCACAAGTTGTGTATTTTTCTGTTTGTTTGCTTTGTTCTGTTAGAAATGTAATATAATGGACTGGTTGCTCTGACACGACAAATAAAAAAAATGAAATCAGTGGGAGTCACAAGTCTCTCTGGATGCAGGGTGAATTACAACTTCCATCAAGCTAGGTCACTCCGAAACTATGACAGTCTTTTAAGGGTCTGTGTGCCACGTTTGTTCCAGATCCATCATTGATCAAGTTCATAGTGCTTTCTTGACGTGGGTGGAGTATAACTCCCATTGTCCAGGGTCAATTCCCCCCCCCCCCCATGTCTCCAGTATTTTCTTTTGGCCTCGGGGGATCTGTGTGCCAAGTTTGGTCCAGATCCATCATCAGTGGGAGTCACAGTGGGAGTCACCCTGCATGTAGGGTGAAATACAACTTCCATCAAGCTAGTTCACTCCGAAACTATGACCGTCTTTTAAGATGGTCATGTTGGGTCTGTGTGCCACACTTGTTCCAGATCCATCATTGATTGAGTTCATAGTGCTTTCTTGATATGGGCATATTATAACTCCCATTGTCCAGGGTCAATTCCCCCAAATGCCTCCAGTATTTTCTGTTGGCCATGGGGGATCAGTGTGCTAAGTTTGATCCAGATACATTGTCGGTGGGAGTCACAGGGCTCTGTGGAAGTGGGAGCCATCTTGGAAATGTCCCACAAACATACATACATATTTTCATTTTTACTATATAATAAAAAAGGTAAAGCTTTTCCCCTGACATTAAGACCAGTTGTGTCTGACTCTGGAGGTTGGTTCTCATCTCCATTTCTAAGCCGAAGAGTGGTGTTGTCCGTAGACACCTCCAAGGTCATGTGGCTGGCATGACTGCATGGAGCGCTGTTATCTTCCCACCAGAGCGGTACCTATTGATCTACTCACATTCACATGTTTTTGAACTGCTAGGTTGGCAGAAGCTGGGGTTAACAGCGTGAGCTCATGCTGCTCCCCAGATTCAAATCTGCAACCTTTCAGTCAACAAGTTCAGCAGCTCAGCGGTTTAATGCACTGCACTACTGGGGGCTCCTTTACTATATAATTCAGATATATAAATAGATATAGTTTTAAAAAACAATAGATTCTCAGTTAACTGGCACCCTTAGGGATTGGTAGATAGATCGAATACCCCATATTATACAATACCATAAACTTTGTACAGGCAGTCCCCGAATTACAAACATCCAACTTGCAAACAACTCATAGTTCAGAACTGGGAGTGAGACAACAGGAAGTGAAAGGAGTCAGTCTACCCCTAGGAAGGAAAATTCACTCCAGAAAGGGATATCACGGTAAAAAGGTGTCTCCACTAAATTATTATAACTTGAAACACAACAAGATGAGTCCACAGCAGACAAGATCACTCTGCTGGCTGTTGTATTGGATCACACGTCAGACACTTCCCAAGTGTCTAGGACTGTGTGATGTATTTTCAAATGATGCACACAGATCCAAGTAAGGTGGCCTTTTGCAGTTGACAGATCGAGATTTTGTCGATGTTTATTGTTTCCAAATGCTGGCTGAGATCTTTTGGCATGGCACCCAGTGCGCCAATGACTACTGGGACCACCTGGACTGGTTTATTATTATTATTATTATTATTATTATTATTATTATTATAGGAGCCCCTGGTGGCGCAGTGGGTTAAACCCCTGTGTCGGCAGGACTGAAGACCGACAGGTCGCAGGTTCGAATCCGGGGAGAGGCGGATGAGCTCCCTCTATCAGCTCCAGCTCCTCATGCGGGGACATGAGAGAAGCCTCCCACAAGGATGATAAAAACATCAAATCATCCGGCGTCCCCTGGGCAACGTCCTTGCAGACGGCCAATTCTCTCACACCAGAAGCGACTTGCAGTTTCTCAAGTTTCTCCTGACATGAGAAATAAAATTATTATTATTATTATTATTATTATTATTATTATTATTATTATTTCTTACCCACCTCTACTTGTGGCTCGAGACAGGTTAATTAAACACATAAACATTGTAAAAAATACCACAAATTCACATAATAAAATGTATTTCTATAAAATATACATTTTAAATCATATTTCTATAAAATACATATTAAATTACCCAAAACAGAGATTAAACAAAGGATATGATTCATCCTGAAGCTTTATCACCAATCCCTTTTTTCCACAACAAGCCATATATGTGTATATGTGTGTGGTTGGAGTTGCACTTAAAAAGAACCTGTTCTAATTTACGTGTTCTGAATAGGAATAACAAACATTTACTGATCAGAAATCAGCATTTGCAGAGCTTCCTAAATGGGCCAATTTTCCTTTTTCTGAAGTACAGCTGAAGCATTTTCTCCCGAGACCGCTGTAAACACTGCATGTTGTTTACAACAGATTTGTGTAAATATCTAAAACAGTTAGTACTGACACTCAGAAACCTTTTACTGTTGCCAAATATTTTGAGACACCCATTTTTGATCACAACCCACAGTTTAAGAAGCAGTGCTATAGATGGCATAGTTATCGAATCCGCAAGTAATCCAGTCTGCTGAAGTTAAACCAGCAAATGTGGAGGAACGACTGTAAACATTCACTCTGGGGAAAAAAATCCCATCTGTGCCCAGTATGAACTTCGATGGGGTCTAACAAAGAAGTTGTACTAATGCTTAACTACTCATTATCTGTGGAAGATCCTTGCAGGTGGGATTTTGGAAACTGCCCAGGGCACGAGGAGCAGCCATTCACAGCCTAGAAGTCATGAGCACCTTTGCCAAAGGCACTTCTTGTACCTTCTAAGACCTGGTGCCTGAGTTGGCATAATTTCGTCCCCGCTCCTCTATTCTGATCCCTTTCTCTTGCACATCTTGTCTTTCAGATAATATGCCTGTGGGCAGGAACCGTCTTTCTCCTGATGTCTTTTAAGCCACTCCGGTGGCCATTTTCATGAAAGATCCAGGAATTGATGCAATTTGACAGGACTTTAACTACCATAGCTCAGTTTGAGGGAAGCATGGATTTTCTAGTTTTACAAGATCTTTAGCCTTGCTCATTGGAGCCTCCCACACACTGAGAAAAGGTCTTGGGAGCGTTTATGAGGAATGGGCACGTTTAACTTGGAGGAAAGAAGGCTGAGAGGAGACCGGATAGCAAGCAATGATGAGATATTTGAAAGGCTGCCATATTCATGGGGGGACAAGATTGTATTCCACAGCTCTGGAGACTAGAATATAGAGTGATGGGTTTAAATTACAGGAAAGGAGATTCCACCACAGGTCTCGGCGGTGGTCAGGGGAGCTTTTCCACAATTAAAACTTGTGCGCCAGCTGCGCCCGTATCTTGGGAAGTCTGACTTGGCCACGGTGGTCCATGCTCTGGTTACATCCCGTATAGACTACTGCAACGCTCTCTATGTGGGGTTGCCTCTGAAGGCTGCCCGGAAGCTGCAATTAGTCCAACGAGCGGCAGCCAGATTACTAACAGGAGCGGGGTACAGGGAGCATACTACTCCTCTTTTGCGCCAGCTCCACTGGCTGCCAATTAGCTTCCGAGCACAATTCAAAGTCCTATAAATCCCTAAACGACTCCGGCCCAGTTTACCTGTCCGAACAGATTCTCCCCTATGAACTATCAAGGTTGTTAAGATCTTCTGGAGGGGCCCTGCTCTCGGTCCCACCTCCTTCGCAATCGCGTCTGGTGGGGATGAGGGACAGGGCCTTCTCGGTGGTGGCCCCTCGACTCTGGAACTCTCTCCCACTGGAGATTAGAACTGCCCCTTCTCTCCTGACTTTTAGAAAACTGGTGAAAACTTGGCTCTGGAATTTAGCATTTGATGAGTGAGTCAATAACTCCTGACCACACGGACGGATGGCGATGAATTGTGATTTCATTCTGACGACTTGGCCTTATGTAATTATATGACTGTATTTTAATGTGTTAATGTATCGTGGGATGTGATGTTTTAAACTACTGTTTATGGATCTTTTGTTGTGAACCAGACTGAGTCCCTCTACGGAGGTCGAGAAGACCGGTATATAAAAATTCTAAATAAAATAACATAAAATAAAACATTAGAACTTCCTAACTGTAAGGAGAGCTGTTCAACAGTGGAACTCTCTGCCTCACAATCCAGTGGAAGCTCCTTCCTTGGAGGCTTTTCAACAGAGACTAGATACCCACCTGTCAGGAGTGCTTTAATTGTGTGTTCCTGCAAAGCAGGGAATTAGATGTCCCTTGTGGTCTCTTCCAATTCTGGAGTCGAGCACAGTCTCTAGATGTCGGAAATGGAAAAAGATGGGAAGCTTTCACCTTTGTTTATGTACTGTCTCCCTTTGTTAATTGTATAACAGCATTTAATGTTTGCCACATATGTGTACTGTAACCTCGGAGAGATAGGGTAAAATATAAATAATAATAATAATAATAATAATAATAATATATTATTATTATTATTATTATTATTATTATTATTATTATTATTATTATATGATTCGATTAGCAATGAGTTTGCCTGTGTTTCTCATTATTTCTGGTCTCTGTCTTTGCTTTCCAGGTGGGCTTCAGGAAAACTGATGCCCCTTTGTTGAGCCGCCTGAGCTCTCGAACCCAACTGAAGCTAGTGCTGTGTGCCATCTCTCTCTTCCTGGCTCTGCTGCTGCTCAGTTCAGTCATCGCTATGGGCATTCAGTACAGTAGAGGTAGGTGAACATGGGGGCAAGGGATCTGGTTATCATGCAAACATTTCAGGCCTACCTTGGTCACTTCTTAGCTCTTTATTGACATGAGAAACTGCAAGTCGCTTCTGGTGTGAGAGAATTGGCCATCTGTAGAGGGGACAGGAGGAGCCCCCGGTGGTGCAGTGGGTTAAAGCACTGAGCTACTGAGCTTGTTGACTGAAAGGTCGCAGGTTCGATTCCGGGGAGCGGCGTGAGCTTCCGCTGTCAGCCCTAGCTTCTGCCAACCTAGCAGTTCGAAAACATGCAAATGTGAGTAGATCCAGCGGGAAGGTAACGGCACTCCATGCAGTCATGTCCTTGGAGGTTTCTATGGACAACGCTGGCTCTTCAGCCTAGAAATGGAGGTGAGCACCACACCCCAGAGTTAATGCCAGGGGACAACCTTTACCTTTTTAGAGGGGACAAGAAGGTCATAATCTCTGGAAGCAGCGTGCTCCACCATCATAGAATCATAGAGTTGGAAGAGACCTCATGGGCCATCCAGTCCAACCCCCTGCCAAGAAGCAGGAATATTGCACTCAAATCACCCCTGACAGATGGCCATCCAGCCTCTGTTTAAAAGCTTCCAAAGACGGAGCCTCCACCACACTCCGGGGCAGAGAGTTCCACTGCTGAATGGCTCTCACAGTCAGGAAGTTCTTCCTCATGTTCAGATGGAATCTCCTTTCTTGTAGTTTTAAGCCATTGTTTCACGTCCTAGTTTCCAGGGAAGCAGAAGACAAGCTTGCTCCCTCCTCCCTGTGGCTTCCTCTCACATATGTATACATGGCTATCATATCTCCTCTCAGCCTTCTCTTCTTCAGGCTAAACATGCCCAGCTCCTTAGGCCGCTCCTCATAGGGCTTGTTCTCCAGACCCTTGATCATTTTAGTCGCCCTCCTCTGGACACATTCCAGCTTGTCAATATCTCTCTTGAATTGTGGTGCCCAGAGTTGGACACAATATTCCAGGTGTGGTCTAACCAAAGGGGATTAGAGGAGTAGCATTACTTCCCTAGATCTAGACACTATGCTCCTATTGATGCACATACTTCTGACTTGCTATAGCCTTTCTCCTATTTTCCATCCAAATCTACTTCCCTGCAATTTCCACTTAAAAAGCAGTAGAGAGAAAAATCTGAACCAAATTCTGCCTGAGATGCTATTTGCAATTCCTGAAGAATATGTCTCCGACTCAATGTGTATGTGTGTGTGTGTGTGTGTGCGTTTATTCTCTTCTTCCAGACCCCTCGCACAACACTTGCCTAACTGAAGCTTGCATCATTGTTGCTGGTAAAATCCTGGAGGCTTTAGACCGGGAGACCGATCCCTGTGATGATTTCTATCAGTTCGCCTGTGGGGGCTGGATCAAGCGGAATCCGCTGCCGGATGGCCGCTCCAAGTGGAGCACCTTCAACAGCATTTGGGATCAGAACCAGGCCATCATGAAGCACCTGCTAGGTGAGATCTCACTTCCTCCAACTATAAACACGCAAAGACCATTGACCAACTTCCAAACCTTCCTCTCAGCCTCTTTTTACCATTTGAACTGGAACCAGTATTTGGTGGCGACTCAGGAAACTGGGCTGCCAAGATCCAGGAGGGTGGAAATGTGCAAAACCACATATATACACATGTACACAAATATATACACACATATACACACACAAAACACATAGGCACAGACTGGACCACAGCAATACATGGCAGGGGATGGCCAGTCACTCATAAAAACACTGAAAAACATAGCAGAAGAGACTTCAAAAGCCAAAAAACTAAAAAATACATTACAATGCATGCACAAAGCCTCATATATACGCAAACACACATATATACACAAATATATACACAAACATATACACATATACACAGAATGAGCCACAGCAGCACGTGGCAGGGGACGGCTAGTAGTCTTATATTTATATTAAATTCTTCTTGTTATTTAGTTTTAAAAATACTTTTGGAGGAGTAAATATATGAAGGAGAGCAAGTATAGTATAGTCTGAGGCTGGATCTACACTGCCATATAATCCAGTTTCTGAATCTAGATTATCTGACCTGAACTGTATGATATGAGTCTGCACAGCCATATAATCTAGTTCAAAGCAGATAATATGGATTCAGAAACTGGATTATATGGTAGTGTAGATGGGGCCTGAGTGTTGGACTAAGGCTCTGGAAAACCAAACCTCTGTCGGCCTGTGCAGTCACACCCAGACACTGTAAAATTAAAACTAAGATGTGTTTCTCTCTTTATCTGGGTGAACCGCTGGGGGTCTTTCTTTGAAGCAATAACTCAATACTTTCAGCAACTGATGGCAGTTATTTATTTCTCGTGTCAGGGCAGCCAGTCAAATATATTACATTTCTAACAGAACAAAGCAAACAAACAGAGAGAATACAAAACGTGTGAGTTTGGTAGTTGATTAAATGTCCTTTGACCAGTATCTGGCCACTTGGAGTGCTTCTGTGTTGCTGCAAGAAGGTCCTCCATTGTGCATGTGGCAGGGCTCAGGGTGCATTGCAGCGGGTGGTCTGTAGTTTGCTCTTCTTCACACTCGCATGTCGTGGATTCCACTTTGTAGCCCCATTTCTTAAGGTTGGCTCTGCACTCTCGTGGTGCCAGAGCGCAGTCTGTTCAGCGCCTTCCAAGTCGCCCAGTCCTCTGTGTGCCCAGGGGAGTCTCTCATTTGGTATCAGCCATTGGTTGAGGTTCTGGGTTTGAGCCTGCCACTTTTGGACTCTCGCTTGCTGAGGTGTTCCAGCGAGTGTCTCTGTAGATCTTAGAAAACTATTTCTAGATTTAAGTCGTTGACGTGCTGGCTGATACCCAAACAGGGGATGAGCTGGAGATGTCTCTGCCTTGGTCCTTTCACTATTGGCTGCTACTTCCCGGCGGATGTCGGGTGGTGCAATACCGGGTGTAGGGCGCAGACACCCCGTGATAATATGGCATGTCTCATTAAGAGCCACATCCACTGTTTTAGTGTGGTGAGATGTGTTCCACACTGGGCATGCATACTCAGCAGCAAGGGCAGATGTCTTCACTGTATCTGGTTGTGATCCCCAGGTTGTGCCAGTCAGCTTTCGTATGATATTGTTTCTAGCACCCACTTTTTGCTTGATGTTCAGGCAGTGCTTCTTGTAGGTCAGAGCACGGTCCAGAGTGACTCCCAGGTATTTGGGTGCGCTGCAATGCTCCAGTGGGATTCCTTCCCAGGTGATCTTCAGAGCTCGGGATGCTTCTCTGTTCTTGAGATGAAAGGCACATGTCTGTGTTTTAGATGGGTTGGGGATCAGCTGGTTTTCCCTGTAATAGGCAGTAAGAGCACCTAGAGCTTCGGAAAGCTTCTGTTCTACCAACTCAAAGCTCCTTGCTTGAGCAGTAATGGCACGGTCATCAGCATAGATGAAACTCTCTGTCCCTTCTGGCAGTGGCTGGTCATTTGTGTAGATGTTGAACATGGATGGAGTGAGCACGCTCCCCTGAGGCAGGCCATTCTTCTGTTTCCGCCATCTGCTTCTCTGGCCCTGGAACTCAACAAAAGCTCCTGTTTTGTAGCAGGTTTCCTATGAGGCGGGTGAGGTGGTAGTCCTTTGTGATATTATACATTTTTCTCAGGAGGAGGCAGTGATTCACAGTATCATAGGCTGCTGACAAGTCTATGAAGACAGCTCCTGTGATCTGCTGCCTTTCAAAGCCATCTTCTATGTGCTGAGTCAGGTTCAACACTTGCGATGTGCCAGTCAAGATATGAATATCAACAAAATATTTATTTCCAAAGTCCTTTGCAGACTCGGCACGGCTTGATAAAGTTACAACGCAAACAGTCAGTTTGAGAAACCATAGAGATATTCTTACTTTCCTTTTTCTTCAATTACTGAGGTAACTTTTCTCCAAATGGTAGAAAAAATCCTGGGATCTTTCACCCTAACCCTGAGCTGCTATGGTTAGAAAGAACAGGTCTTCCCCTATCTAAGCTCAAGGTTAGCTTTGGAGATGAAGTAATGCTCAATAGTACTCAATAACTATTTCTCTCTATTTCTCAATTGTCTTTCTTAATAACTCAATCTCTATCTGTAACTCAATTTCTATCTATAACTCAATTGCTCAATTTAGCTTCTCTATCTATATATACAAAAATGCTCTGTGCATAATGAGTTCTTTAAAAACAAAAGAACCAATGAACGAAATCACACCAAATTTGGCAACAAAATGTCTCACAACACAAGGAGTAACCATCACTCAAAAATTATGAATTTGTCATTTGGGAGTTGTAGTTGCTGGGATTTATAGTTCACCTACAATCAAAGAGCATTCTGAACTCCATCAACGATGGAATTGAACCAAACTTGGCACACAGAACTCTCATGACCAACAGAAAATACTGGAAGGGTTTGGTGGGCATTGACCTTGAGTTTTGGAGTTGTAGTTCACCTACATCCAGAGAGCACTGTGGACTCAAACAATGATGGATCTGGACCAAACTTGGCACGAATACTCAATATGCCCAAATATGAACAGATGGAGTTTGGGGAAAATAGACCTTGACATTTTTTGTTTGTTTTTTTTTTTTTTTTTTTTTTTTTTGTTTTTTTGTGGAGAAATCCTTTTTGCGGGTTTTGTTTTTTTTTTTTTTTTAGACTTCAACATTTGGGAGTTGTAGTTACTGGGATATATAGTTCACCTACAATCAAAGAGCATTCTGAACCACACTGACAGAATTGGGACAAACTTCCCACACAGAACCCCCATACTTAAGGCCATCCAGTTCATCTCCCTTCACCAGGGCAAGAAAACGTAATCAAGGCCCTCCTGACAAAGACCCATCCAGCCATATATATATATATATATATATATATATATGTATGTATACACACACACACACACACACACATATATATAATTCACAGAGAGAGAGAGAGAGAGAGAGATAGTATCATAGATTTGAAAGGGACTCCTAAAGAAGGACAATTATATGTTGCATGTTCCAGAGTAGGCAAACCACATCAACAATGACAAAGAAACAGCAAGAAATACTGTTTACCCACAAGCATAAAGAAATTACATATATTAGAAACCAACACTTTCTCATTACTTTATTTCCCAGATCACCAGACTGGGCCACAGCAACGCGTGGCAGGGGACAGCTAGTCTTAATTACTCAATTTCTTTCTATATCTCAATTTTACTCACAATGGTTTTTTCAGAGCTACCTGCCTGACCAACAGCACATCTGAGGCTTTTTTTCTCTACTGAAGGAGTCAGGGGAGATTCCAAAATGGAGATCTTAACCCCAGGAAAAAGGGCGGTCTCTAGACCCAAAGAGATACTTTTCTAAACCAATAACTGCAGAGGGCTTGCAGGCTGGCTTTCCAGGCTCTGATACTGTTTAACTTCCAGGGTGCTGCTGGGTCTGTAGCAACCCTGGAGAAATGCAAAGGAATGCTATCCCATGCAGCTAAAAGGCAATGTAAACCATGCTCCTGCAAGATGGAACACGGCCACTGGGCAAGTCACTCTCTCAGCATCAGAAGAGGGCAAAGGGACTCCTATGAACGATATTATAGAGTTGCCCTAAGTCAGAGATGACTTAAAGCTACATAACAACAAAATCTAGGAATGCTTTGCCATCAATAAAATATTGCAAAATCCTTCCTCATCCCATCTTTCCACTTCTTTTTTGTGGGGGGAGAGGTTATGGGGTGGTGGTGGGGGGAAAATATCCCCAGCCCAACAGCCAGTTTCCCCAGTTTCCCCCTACCCCAAACTTTCACATGTCTCCTGACATGTCGTGTGCCTTTCTCTCCAGAAAATGCCACGTTCAACTCCAGCAGTGAGGCAGAAAGGAAGACCCAGCGCTTTTACTTGTCCTGCCTGAAGGAGCAGAAGATTGAAGAGCTGGGCTCCCAACCCCTGATGGACCTCATTGAGAAGGTAAGACTAGCAGTGAAGGAACCACAACAGGTTCAGTATCCCTTAAAAGGAATTCCAAAATATCCAAAATCCAAAAATGTCCACCTAAATGATTGAGACAAGGACACCTTTGCTTTGTGATGGCTGTATCTACACAAACATCGTTTCATGCACTAAATTATTTTAAAAGCTGTGTATACCAGGCATGGGCAAAATTCCTAATTGTGGGAGTTGAAGTCCAAAACACCTAAAGGGCCCGAGTTTGCCCATGCCTGGTATAAAATGACTTTCAGGCTATGTGTATAAGGAGCATATGAAGACTAACTGAATTTCGTGTTTAGACTCAGGTCTTATCTCCAAGATTATTTATTATGTATGTATATGCAAGTATATGTATTCCAAAATCCAAAATACTTTTGGTCCCAAATATTTCGGACTACAAACTACAAGAAAGGACATTAGGAAGAACTTCCTGACTGTGAGAGCCGTTCAGCAGCGGAACTCTCTGCCCCGGAGTGTGGTGGAGGCTCCTTCTTTGGAAGCTTTTAAGCAGAGGCTGGATGGCCATCTGTCAGGGGTGCTTTGAATGCAATATTCCTGCTTCTTGGCAGGGGGTTGGACTGGATGGCCCATGAGGTCTCTTCCAACTCTTTGATTCCATGATTTTGGATAAGTGATACTCAACCTGTATTATTATTTATATCAAAACTCTGAGAATCCCCTCAACCAACAAGGCCAGTGAATCATTAAAAAATACAAAAAAGTCATTTAATTTTTAAGACTGCATCTGAGTTAGGCAGTTCTCTCTTGTTATAGCTGTGCTGTATAGCTATGTTAAGCAAATAATAGTTTCTATGTCACATTCAAAATAGAGAAGACACTGAAGAGCTTTCAAAAAGCAAGAACCACATTGCTGGATCAGACTATTTAAGGCCCTTTCTATACTGCACTATAAAATCCAGATTACCTGCTTTGAATTGGATTATATGACAGTGTAGACTCGGATAATCCAGTTCAAAGTAGATAATGTAGATTTTGATCCCCCCCACCCCCGCCCCAGATTTTGGAATATTTGCATACACATAATGTGATATATTTGCCAATATCTGCTGCCAATATCCAAATTGCCAATATCTGCTGGATAATGGAAAAAGACAGGGAGTTTCAGAAAAACATCTATTTCTGTTTCATTGACTATTCCAAAGTCTTTGAGCAATAGCTGGGTTGCAGTCAAAAATTAAAAAAAAACCAAGATTATGGCAATGAATGATTGACAACTGGGAAATAGAGGGAGAAAACGTGGAGGCCGTGACAGACTTTGTATTTCTAGGTGCAAAGATTACTGCAGATGCAGCCTGTGGCCAGGAAATCAGAAGACGCTTACTTCTTGGGAGGAGAGCAATGTCCAGTCTCTATAAAATAGTAAAGAGTAGAGACATCAGACTGGCAACAAAGATCCATTGCCTAGTCAAAGCCATGGTATTCCCTGGACCATAGGGAAGGCTGAGCGAAGGAAGATAGATGCTTTTGAACTGTGGTGTTGGAGGAAAGTTCTGAGAGTGCCTTGGACTGCGAGAAGATCCAACCAGTCCATACTTCAAGAAATAAAGCCCGACTGCTCATTGGAGGGAAGAATAGTAGAGGCCAAGATGAAGTACTTTGGCCACATCATGAGAAGAAAGGAAAGCTTAGAGAAGACAATGATGCTGGGGAAATGGAAGGAAAAAGGAAGAGGGGCCGACCAAGGGCAAGATGGATGGATGGTATCCTTGAAGTGACTGGATTGATCTTCAAGGAGCTGGGGGTGGTGACGATCGACAGGGAGCTCTGGTGTGGACTGGTCCATGAATTCACAAAGAGTCGGAAACGACTGAATGAATGAACAACAACAAATGTGATATATTGGAGATACATTCAAAATTCATGTACCATCTTATAAACCTTAGCCTGAAGATACTTTTATACACCATTTTAAAAAAATAATTGTGTTCATTAAATTAAATTTGTGTACAATGAACCATCAGAGCACAAAGATGTCAATATCTCAGCCACCCATGTGTATGATCAGTGGTAGTTTTGGACTTTGAGGTATTTCTGATTTTGGAATTCTGTATACAAGATACTCAATCTGTATTAGGGAAAATTGAAAACAATGCAAAGCATTCCTGAATCGCAAATGACCCTGTGTGTTTTATCCCAGCCTCTGTGAGCAAGATATAGTGCTCCACATAAGGTGGAAAATCAATTTCACTTCTCCTGGTAGTTTGTAAATGGAAGAGCAATGGCTGGAAGCAAACCAGTTACAATGGCTAATAGTTATTGATAGATGTAGTATAGTAATGGGTATGATCGAAGTCCTCTATCACGGTCCACGTTATGTAACTTCATGTGTACCTATGTACAGAAGCACTAAGAAACCTTGTCAATGAATTGGGATGTTGTGTAACAGGACACTGGCAAGGGCTCTCCCAATGCGCCAGAATGGGTTCTGATGATGCACACTGGCACTCTCCAGCTGGTGTCCCGATGTGCATTGGACGGATGTGTTTTTATCACTTTGCAACTCTATTACTTACTATCCCAGTTACAGCATCCCAGTTAAAGAACTGCCCAATTCCCTTTAGGAATAAATCTATTTACAAAGTATCCCAGTGTATGTGTGGTGTGTTTATTGTTGTGCATCTTCAAGTCATTTTTGACTTATGGAGATACTAAGCTGAACCTATCACAGGGTCTTCTTGGCTAGACTTCTTCAGAAGAGATTTACCCTTGGCTTCCTCTGAGGCTGAGAAAGCGTGACTTGCCAATGGGTTTCACGGCTGAATGGGAGTCAAACTCTGGTCCACAGCATTATAGTCCAATACTCAAACCATTACACTATCCTGGCTCCTGGTATGTTTAAGCTATCGTTCTCTCCCCCCCCCTCCCAAATCAGCCAATATCCTAATCTCTATATCAATCAGTGGTTCTCAACCTGTGGGTCCCCAGGTGTTTTGGCCTACTACTCCCAGAATCCCAACCAGTTTACCAGCTGTTAGGATTTCTGGGAATTAAAGGCCAAAAACATCTGGGGACCCCAGGTTGAGAATCGCCATTTTTTTTTTTTACTGTGCTATCCTAGTTGATGCAAGTTTTTAGGTTTGTAACAGGGTCCAAGTCTTGAAATGTAGTGGAATTTTTAGTTAAATTACAGTAGACACATGAAAGATCAGACTGAATTTCTGGTAGCCAAAGGAGCCTAAATGCTAAAGGCACCAGATCCCACCTGATCTTGGAAGTTAAGAAGGATTAGTACTTGGATGGAAGACCACCAAGAAATACGCGGTGCTGCAGGCTATATTTCAGGAAAAGGAAGTGGCAAAACCACCTCTAAATATTCAGTTCCTAAGAAAATCCTATGAAGAATTGATGGAGTTGCCACAAGCTGACAACTTGAACGCATTTACTTAATTAGGCGATCCCTCGTAGCCTGAGGATAATGGTCCTCCAAGTGTAGCGTTTTGGTGGTGGGTCCATAGGTGGCTGTGGAGCCCTATTCTTGATCTGCATCTTCTCCCGCAGTGAGAACACCGGTTTCCAGGTGGAAGGCGGTCCCGGTCAAGGTTGGCTTGATGTGCCTTCCTCTTGGCACATTTCTCCCTTTCGTCCTCCATTCGTGCCTCTCCTAATTCTGCAGCATTACTGGTCACAGCTGGCCTCCTGTTAGAGCACTCAAGGGGCAAGGCTTCCCAGTTCTCAGTGTTTATGCCACAGTTTTTAAGGTTGGCTTTAAGCCCATCTTTAGATCTCTTTTCCTGTATGCTTTGTATGATTTCACAGATGTCATTGTATATATTTCACAGGATGCAATATGACCTGAAAGCTGTGGGGAAAGGCAGGAGAATGAAAGACATAGAACAAGGTGGAAATTGAGGGCAAGAGAGAGGGAGAGAAACAGAGGAGCCATTTTTAGGCTTCAGATTGGGCTAAGGGAAGGGGTGCTGTTGATCTCAGATATTCCCCCCCCCCCCTATTTCCTTTTATTTGTTTACGGTGCCCAAAATCTTGCATCAGAGAATCATCGAGTTGAAAGAGACTCAAGAGCCATCCAGTTCAACCTTCTGCCATGCAAGAATACCAAATCAAAACACTCCCAACTGATGGCTATTCAGCTTCTGCATAAAAACCTTCAGAGAAGGGGACTCCGCTGGACTCCAAGGCAGCTCTAAACAGCTCTTAAACAGCTCTTACCATCAGGATGTTCTTCCTAATGTTTTAATAGAGTATGTTTTCCTGCAACTTGAATCCATGGCTCCATTGTGTCTTACTCTCTCGAGTAGCAGAAAACAAGTCTTGAGCCCTCCTTGATCTATCTATCTGTATGAATCTCTCTGTGTGTATGATATTGTTTTTATTTTCGGTTCTTTGGGTTTCAGTCTGTTGCACAACTCTTTGCTTATATTTCCAAGGGACAAAACCAGTCATGTCAGCTTCCCTGCTGTGATCCTTATTCCTTGCATCCTGCCTTTCCCTAGATTGGAGGCTGGAACATCACTGGCCCTTGGAACCAGACGAACTTCATGGAGGTCTTGAAACTGGTGTCGGGAACCTACCGAGCCTCTCCGTTCTTCACTGTCTTTGTTGGTGCCGATTCCAAGAGTTCCAACAGCAACATCATCCAGGTAATTTTACCCAGCAATCCCATTCAAGTAGCATTTCTGTAAAGTGAACTTAGATCAGACGAGGAGGGACTTCCCATCATTGCCAGCCTTGCTGAGTTCTGTGATAAGGCAAATCTGCCATTGAGCCAACAGAAGGGATGCAGAAGGTGGTTTGTTATGGACAGAGGTGTAAAATATAAGCTAAGATTGTTTTTGGACTAATTCTCTTATCTTGGGCAGTAGCCCTGCTATTTAGGGATTGAAAGAAGTTTTAGCCCCCACAACAAATAAACCTTTTCCAAACTAAGGGAAGGTGTATGAAGAAAAAACATGACAAAGAAATAATGGTAGCATAAGAAAATGGGAAAACAGTACTAAGAGGTAAGAGTAGAGGTGCCCAATGGAGACTTTGCTGTAATGAAGGACTAACCACAGGTTTGGGTAACACCGCAAACCATGATTTCAAGAAGCCAGAATTAATAAGCTAAGAAAAAAACCCGGATTCTAATTCTTGCTTGTGTCTGGTGAGCAAATCATGGCTTGCTTTTGCTCTGTTAACATAACATCACATATTAACATGGATTTCAAGAAACTACTCCGTGTCTTGTTGTCGTCTTCTTCTCCATCTCCATCTCCTTCTCCATCTCCTTCTCCATCTCCATCTCCATCTCCATCTCCATCTCCTTCTCTATCACCATCTCCATCTCCTTCTCCATCTGCTTCTCCTTCTCTTCTCCTCTCCTTCTCCTCTTTCTCCTCTCCTTCTCCTCCTTCTCCTCCTTCTCCTCCTTCTCCTCCTTCTCCTCCTTCTCCTTCTCCTTCTCCTTCTCCTTCTCCTTCTCCTTCTCCTTCTCCTTCTCCTTCTCCTTCTCCTTCTCCTTCTCCTCCTCCTCCTCCTCTCTCCTCCTCCTCCTCCTCCTCCTCCTCCTCCTCCTCCTCCTCCTCCTCCTCCAATTTAGTACACTGCAATCAACATCACTATGCTGGCTTTTGTATTGAATCATACATTGGACACTTCCCAAGTGTCTAAGACTATGTGATGTGTCAACAAATAATCCATGCAGATCTGAGTAGGGTGGCCTTTTGCAGCTACCAGATGGTAATTTTGTCAGTGTCAATTGTTTTTAAGTGCAGGCCAAGGTCTTTAGTCTGTGTTGACCTCCTTTAATTGTGTGGACCATCCTTTTGATTGTGCTGACCATCCTTGTCTGTGTTGACCTCCTTTGACCTTGTTAACCATCGTTGATTGTGCTGACCACCCTCATTGTGTTTGGTGCGGAGCATTCCATCAGCGGAGAACTTAAGAACTAATCGTTGTTTTGTCAACAAGCGAAGTGTATACTTATTTGGTGTGATTCTAGCACTTTACCCGACCAGCACTTTAATTTACTACCTCTGTGGTAACTGGACCACTAACTTATTGAACCTCAGCACTTTAATTGTCTCAACCAACCATCTAGCGTAGCACTTTAAGTCCTCCATGACGAACTTTATTTTAGCACTTTAGAGCCAATTGATAAAGCCATTGCACTTTAGTTATTTATACCATCTTATATAATCTATCTGCACTTTAAGAACCTTAGGAAAACCTCTCCGACAGTGCTTAACGGCTCTCGCCACTCATGCCACTACACTTTCCCTGGTATTTGTTAATTTGGCTGCTAATTGTTTATGGTGGAGAGAGGGAACGGAGTAGACCAGAGAGGCCCGAGTATAACAAAGCGGGAGTGGGAAATGGACGGAAGGCAGGATTATGGCAAATTGAAGCTGCAACATATCAAATAGTCAATAATGAACTGTATATTGATATTGTGGTTGCTGAATGCGTCATGGAGGAGGGAAGGGGTTCCGTTAGCCGGGGAGCCCCCATAGAAGTCGTGGTGGGGAGGGGGAGATACGGGAAAGGGAGACCCTTAATTCGGCCTAGGGAATGTGGAACAACATTAGTAATTCCAAATCGGTCTCCTGATATGGCAAGTTGGTGTAACCAGGATGGCGGTCCCTCCGAATTGAAAGTGGTGCTGTTGAACGCCAGATCTGTCAATGGTAAAACAACTTTCATCCAGGATCTAATCCTGGATGAACGGGCAGATCTGGCGTGCACCACAGAGACCTGGTTGGACGAAGCGGGAGGTGTAAATTTAACCCAGCTTTGCCCACCAGGTTTCTCTGTGCAGCACCAACCGAGATCCGGAGGGCGGGGAGGCGGGTTGCAGTGGTCTATAGAGATTCCATCCATCTGACCAGGAGCCCCATCCCGCAGACCACAAATTTTGAATGCGTCCACCTGAGGGTGGGTGACCGGGACAGAATAGGGATTCTGCTAGTGTACCGTCCACCTCGCTGCACTACCGTCTCCCTACCTGAGCTAGCGGGGGTGGTCTCGAGCCTGGCGTTGGAGTCCCAACGGCTGCTTGTGCTGGGGGACTTCAATGTCCACGCCGAGACCGCCTTATCGGGAGCAGCTCAGGACTTCATGTCTACCATGGCAACCATGGGGCTGTCCCAACAGGTATCTGGCCCCACCCACAGTGCTGGACACACATTGGACTTGGTTTTCTGCCAGGGATGGGAGGAAGGTGGCGGTGTTGAGGAGTTATCCATCTCTCCGTTGCCATGGACCGACCACCACCTGGTCAGCTTTAGACTCACTGCACCCCCTAACCTCCGCAGAGGTGGAGGACCCATTAAGATGGTCCGCCCCAGGAGGCTTATGGATCCGGATGGATTCCTGACGGCTCTTGGGGAATTTCCCGCCTCCTCGGTTGGTGATCCTGTCGATGCCCTGGTCGCTCTCTGGAATGGGGAGATGACTAGGGCAATAGACACGATCGCCCCAGAACGTCCCCTCTCAAGTAGCCGAGCTAAACCAGCCCTTGGTTTACCGAGGAGCTGGCAGCGTTGAAGCGAAAGAAGAGGGAACTAGAGAGCGTGTGGCGTTCGGATCCGAGCGAGCCAAACCGAACACGGTTTGTGTCCTTTTTAAGGGCATATGCCGCGGCAATAAAGGCCGCAAAGAAACTTTCTTTGCGGCCACTATTGCGTCTGCAAAGAACCGTCCGGCTGAACTGTTCCGAGTTGTCAGAGGCCTGTTAAAACCCTCCATTCAGGATGGGTGCCCTGATGACTCGGCAGCTCGCTGTGAAGCCTTTGCTCAGTTCTTTGCAGACAAAGTCGCTTTGATCCGCTCTGGACTGGATACCATATTAACGGCAGTCTCTGAGGATGTAACACGAGCATCTGCTTGTCCGGTTTTGATGGATTCATTTCAATTGGTCCAACCCAAGGATGTGGACAAGATACTTGGAGGAATGAGAGCTACCACATGCATCCTAGACCCCTGCCCATCCTGGCTTCTAAAGGAGGCCAGAGGGGGATTGGCCGAGTGGGTGAAGGTGGTGGTTAATGCCTCCCTTCGGGAAGGCAAAATTCCAGCCAGCTTAAAACAAGCTGTGATAAAACCGCTGTTGAAAAAACCATCACTGGATCCCACTCAATTCGTCAACTATCGGCCTGTTTCCAATCTCCCCTTTTTGGGCAAAGTCATGGAACGTGTGGTGGCCTCACAACTCCAGGCATTCTTGGTAGACACGGATTATCTGGATCCGGCACAGTCTGGCTTTAGGCCGGGGCATGGTACCGAGACAGCCTTGGTCGCCTTAGTGGATGATCTGCGCCGGGAGCTCGACAGGGGGAGTGTGTCCCTGTTGGTGCTGCTGGACCTCTCAGCGGCCTTCGATACCGTCGACCACGGTATCCTTCTGGACGCCTCGCGGGGATGGGTCTTGGAGGTACTGTTCTGCAGTGGCTCCGCTCATTCCTCGAGGGTCGGTCTCAGAAGGTGTTACTGGGAGACTCCTGTTCAACCCCACAACCTTTGTCTTGTGGGGTTCCTCAGGGTTCAATACTGTCTCCCATGTTGTTTAACATCTACATGAAGCCGCTGGGTGAGATCATCCAGAGTTTCGGAGTGCGATGTCATCTGTACGCAGATGATGTCCAACTCTGTCACTCCTTTCCACCTGCTACTAAGGAGGCTGTCGAGGTCCTGAACCGGTGCTTGGCCGCTGTGACGGTCTGGATGGGGGCGAACAAATTGAAATTGAATCCAGACAAGACAGAGGTACTCCTGGTCAGTCGCAAGGCCAAACAGGGTATAGGGTTACAGCCTGTGTTGGATGGGGTCGCACTCCCCCTGAAGACGCAGGTTCGCAGTTTGGGTGTGATCCTGGACTCATCGCTGAGCCTGGAACCCCAGGTTTCGGCGGTGACCAGGGAGCATTCGCACAGTTAAAACTCGTGCGCCAACTGCGCCCGTACCTTGGGAAGTCTGACTTGGCCACGGTAGTCCACGCTCTGGTTACATCCCGTTTAGACTACTGCAACGCTCTCTACGTGGGGTTGCCTTTGAAGACGGCCCGGAAGCTCCAGCTAGTCCAACGCTCGGCAGCCATGATACTAACAGGAGCGGAGCGCAGGGAGCATACAACTCCTCTGCTGCACCAGCTCCACTGGCTGCCGATTTGCTACCGGGCTCAATTCAAAGTGCTGGCGTTGGCCTTTAAAGCCCTAAACGGTTCTGGTCCAACTTACCTATCCGAACGTATCTCGGCCTATCAGCCCACCAGGACCCTAAGATCTTCTGGGGAGGCCCTGCTCTCTATCCCGCCTGCTTCACAGGTGCGGCTGGCGGGGACGAGAGACAGGGCCTTTTCTGTGGTGGCCCCTCGGCTTTGGAACGCCCTTCCCATGGAGGTAAGATCAGCCCCCTCGCTGATGGTGTTTCGAAAAAGACTGAAGACCTGGATGTTCAAACAGGCATTTGGCTAATTCGGTACAATGAACTGATGACTAAATGGATTGGTAATATGGACGATGAAATTGGATTATGATTTTAGTTAAGAGATGCACTGGATTATTATCGACGGGCCAATATTGTCTATTGTGTATGTTGTTTTTTATGGTTTTAATCTGAATATTGTTGTTGTTTGTACTGTTGTAAACCGCGTTGAGTCGCCAATTTAGGCTGAGAAACGGCGGTATACAAGCACAGTAATAAATAAATAAATAATAATTTAGGTACTACACCCAGTGTGTCGATTACCACTGGGCTTGTGCCAGAGTCTTTGTTATTGTTGTTGTTGTTATTATTATTATTATTATTACCCCATTTTTTCTCGCCACAAAGGAGATTCATAGTGGCTTACATTAAAAGCATTTCAATACAATTTAAAACCCACAAACATCCATCGGTGGTATTAAAAAATTAACAATTAAAGTCCATAAAATTGATTAAAATATATTCAGAATTGTGTGCACACATAGTCAATTTTGATGGGAATGTGAAGTGTCTTGTATTTCTGGGTCATTCTCCTCTCCATTTCCTCTTCTAGAAAGCTGTGCAAGCTTTCAAATGATAGCAGGGAAGCACAAGCCTTATACAATCTGTTCTCCTGACATTTTCAACATGGTTGAATTAGGAACACAAGGGAATATGTGCATGGAGTGGAACAGAGAGGACCAGAAAACTATAGGGCTAAATTGGCCATGGTTTTTCATGTCTTGCAAATAAGCACGTCCAATGGGAAAGTTAACAGAGCTATGAAGCCACGAACACCATATTGTTCTTATGATTGTTGGAAGTCTATTGTCATTCTTCAAGAAATGAAATCCTTTAGCCTTCATGCTTATCGAGGCGACAGATCTGTGTCTGAAATGTATTATTTCAAAGTGCAGGCAGGAAAGAAATAGCCCAGGTATGGGCAAACTTCGGCCCTCCAGGTGTTTTGGACTTCAACTCCCACAATTCCTAACAGCCTATCGGCTGTTAGGAATTGTGGGAGTTGAAGTCCAAAACACCTGGAGGACCGAAGTTTGCCCATACCTGGGAAGATCTGTAGAGACAAGTCATTCTGGCACCTGTACTCATTGGTTCCCTTTTATGTATGGCAGCTGGATCAGTCGGGCCTCTTCTTGCCCTCGCGGGATTACTACCTGAACAAGACTGCCAATGAGAAGGTAAGGAGCCACAAACAAGCCACCCATGGTGACACCAATCCATTTCTCCACTGGTAACCACTACCGCCACACACTTATATACAAATCTGAATCAAATTGTGCTTAACAAAAAAGGAAAACATCTTTGGGTGGCCATGTATTGAAGCATCACCACACTGTGTCATTCCAGGCAGGACACGGAGATGGGATGAGCAGGAAGGCAAACAGACAACAAACAATAACTTTGGCCAAAGAGTCTACCAAGATTCAATACTGCTTCCCATCCTTGACTTACAGGCAGTGGCTGAGATAGATGAAGTTTATTCTGAGTATCACTATTTCATAGGGCAGTGTTTCTCAACCTGTGGGTCCCCAGATGTTTTGGCCTTCAACTCCCAAAAATCCTAACAACTGGTAAACTGACTGGGATTTCTGGGAGTTGTAGGCCAAAACACCTGGGGACACACAGGTGAGAACCACTGTCATAGGGCTTATCTATATAAATAAAAATGTTTGTGGGATTAACAGAACTCAAAAACCACTGGACGAATTGACACCAAATTTGGACACAAGACACCTAACAACCCAATGGATGTCCTTCACTATAAAAAAAATGATTTTGTCATTGGGAAGTTGTAGTTCTTGGGATTTATAGTTCACCTACAATCAACGAGCATTCTGAACTCCACCAATGATGGAATTGAACCTAATTTACCACACAGAGCTCCCATGACCAACAGAAAACACTAGAAGGGTTTGGTGGGCATTGACCTTGAGTTTGGGAGTTGTAGTTCACCTACATCCAGAGACCACTGTGGACTCAAACAATGATGGATCTGGACCAAACTTGGCAGAGATATTCCATATGCCCAAATATGAACACAGATGGAGTTTGGGGGAAATAGACCTTGACATTAGGGAGTTGTAGTTACTGGGATTTATAGTTCACCTACAATCAAAGAGCGTTCTGAACCCCACCAATGACAGAATTGGGGCAAACTTCCCACACAGAACCCCCTCGACCAACAGAAAATACTTAAGGCCACCCAATCCAACTCTCTTCACCAAGGCAAGAAAATCTAATCAAAGCCCTCCTGACAAAGAGCCATCCAGCCATAGATATAGATAGATATATATGATTCAGACACACAGAGATATAATATTTATTTATTTACTTCACTTATATACCACTTTTCTCAGCCCTCAGGTGACTCAAAGCGGTTAACAACAGCAAAATTCAATGCAAAAACATCACAAAACGAATATGGGACAGTTAAAAACAGTAGCATCATCAACGATTAAACATCAATAATATCATAGATTTGAAAGGAACCCCTAAAGAAGGACAATGATATGTTGCATATTCCAGAGTAGGCAAACCAGATACTCTCCACATCAACACCGACAAAGAAACAACAAGAAATACTGTTTACCCACAAGCATAAAGAAATTATATAGATTAGAAACCATTACTTTATTTTCCAGATCCCCAGACTGGGCCACAGCCATGCGTTGCATGGGATGGCTAGTATAATAATAATATAATAATATTTTATGCTGCCCTATCTCCTTGAGGGGACTCAGGGCAGGTCCCAGCATATGCAGACACAAAGGCAAGCATTCAATGACTAGAAACAATGAAACACAGATACACAGATAAAGGTAAAGGCTTTCCCTTGTGGCTCCGAGGGATGATGCTCATCTCCGGCTCTCAGGGTGGTACTCATCCCCATTTCTAAGCTGAAGAGCCTGCGCTGTCCATAGACACCTCTTAGGTCATGTGGTTGGCATGACGGCATGGAGTGCTGTTTACCTTCCCACCGAGGTGGTACCTATTGAGCTACTCACATTTTCATTGATTCGAACTGCAAGGTTGGCAGGAACTGGGGCTAAAAGTGGGATCTCACCACAACTCACAGAATCGAACTGCTAACTTTCCTGTTAGCATGTTCAGCAGCTCAGCGATTTAACCTGTTGCACTACCACAGCCCTTAAAGCTATAAAGCAGTGTTTCTCAACCTGGGGGTCAGGACCCTTGGGATGGGGGTTGCAAGGGGGTGTCAGAGGGTCACCAAAGACTATCGGAAAACACAGTATTTTCTGTTGATCATGGGGGTTCTGTGTGGGAAGTTTGGCCCAATTCTATCGTTGGTTTTGTTTAAATCCATATCCTAGTTTCTGGAGCTGGAGGACACAAGCATGTCCCCACCTCAATGTGACATCCTTTCAAATATGTAAACATGCCTGTCATGCCCCTCTTGACATTCTCTTCTACAAGCTGAAAAATAGCTAGCTCCCTAAGCTGTTCCTCCTAGGACATTTCTCAACCTGGGGGTTAGGACCCTGGGGGGGGGGGTTGGGAGGGGGGTGTCAGAGGGATCGCCAAAGACCATCAGAAAACACAGTATTTTCTGTTGATCATGGGGGTCTCTGTGTGGGAAGTTTGGCCCAATTCTATCGTTGGTGGGGTTCAAAATGCTCTTTGATTGTAGGTGAACTAGAAATCCCAGCAACTACAACTCCAAAATGCCAAGGTCTATTTTCCCCAAGCTCCACCAGGGTTGACCACTGGACATATTGAGTATCTGTGCCAAGTTTGGGCCAGATCCATCATGGTTTGAGACGACAGTGCTCTCTGAATGTAGGTGAACCACAACTCCAAAACTCAAGGCCAGTGCCCATCAAACACTTCTAGTATTTTCTGTTGGTCATGGGAGTTCTGTGTGCCAAGTTTTGGTTCAGTTCCATCATTGGTGGAGTTCAGAATGCTCTTTGATTGCAGGTTAACTATAAATCCCAGCAAGTGACAAAATCAATCCCTCCCCAACCCCACCAGTATTCAGATTTGGGCATATCGGGTATTTCTGCCAAATTTGGTCCGGTGAATGAAAATACATCCTGCATATCAGATATTTATGTTACAATTCATAACAGTAGCAAAATTACTGTTATGAAGTAGCAACGAAAATAATGTTATGGTTGGGGAACCATATTAAGAGGTTGCAACATTAGAAAGGTTGAGAAACACTGCCATAAAGGAAAAGGCAGAGTGCTAATGAGCCACATCTATTATCTAATGCATACATTGTAATATTTATTTATGTGACCTGCACAGAGTAAAGGCAGAGATTGTTTATGAGGATGCTCTCTGGGTCTGTAGCCGTGACATTAGACAGGGTAGCCCTGGGTACACTATGTTGCATTTGCAGCACTTCTAGCAGATTCCAACAAAACAGCACAGGCCATGAGTGGGGTATCAACTATTGTTAACTGAAGTCAATCAGGCTAATTACAATTAAGTTTTCTTTTAGGCACTAGACAAAACCAAGTCTCTTTTAGTTAAGGTTTTAATTTCACTGTGACAGTAATGTTTCACATGGCTGCTCAATTTTTTCTGTGTTTTATAAGCTTTTTACTTGATTTTCACATTGCTTTCTGATGTTTTTATTATTGTGCTTTATTGTTGTGTTGTTTCATTAGTGTGTGTTTTATGGTGTGTGGCTTTTATTATATGGAAGCTGCTTTGAGAATGTTTGTTAAATTGAAAGATGGGATATAAATACCTTAAACAAAGAAGTAAATGGTTTCGAGCTCGTCTTAGTAGTCACCAGAGGCTAGAAATGCCTCGGTTTAAATATATATAGAAATGAAAAGCAGAAATGCTCAGGAGTGTTTGGCTCCCATGCCAAACACAGAACCGCAGAGTTATGAAAGAGCCCAAATTAAGGTGAAGATGAGCAGATTATGAAAGCAATGAGATAGGATCTTCAGCCGCATAGCTTTGCTATTGCCATGGCTGTTGTGCTGTCACGCGCTGGGCCTATAGCAGTTGGCTTTTGAACAGGACGTGCTCTTTGTGCCCATTGGGAAGCCAGGGTGCCTCGGTTGAGAGGCCCAAAGGATTTTCCTATACAGAGTCTTTAGAAGCTTGAAAGGTTTAACAACGTCCTTTATTATTGCTTAAGTCTTCAACAAACAATCAAATACGTCTTAGATCTTCAACAAATTAAACAAATACTTCAAGGCTTTGAATCAACTGGTGGCTTTCTTAATCTTGTCCACAAGGGACAGGCAACTGGCTTTGTGAACTGTTTCTTTTCTTTAAGAGGAAAACCCCTTTAAACCCCTCCTTGGGCAATCTACTTTCTAAACTTTGCTGGTGTGGGCTCTGCTCCCGGCTCCAAACTGCTTCTTGGGTCCCGAGTAGACCTACCAGTCAAGGCTTTGTAGATTCTCCAGCTGGAGTCCTTTGGAACTGTTTCCCCCCGGAATTTCCCCCGGATGCTGTGAGAAATGAAGCTCTTATCAAGTTTGCAGATGACACCAAATTGGGAGGGATAGCCAATACTCCAGAGGACAGGAGCAGGATTCAAAACGATCTTGACAGATTAGAGAGATGGGCCAAAACTAACAAAATGAAGTTCAACAGTGACAAATGCAAGATACTCCACTTTGGCAGGAAAAACGAAATGCAAAGATACAGAATGGGGGATGCCTGGCTCGAGAGCAGTACGTGTGAAAAAGATCTTGGAGTCCTCGTGGACAACAAGTTAAACATGAGCCAACAATGTGATGCGGCGGCAAAAAAAGCCAATGGGATTTTGGCCTGCATCAATAGGAGCATAGTGTCTAGATCTAGGGAAGTCATGCTACCCCTCTCTTCCGCTTTGGTTAGACCACACCTGGAATATTGTGTCCAATTCTGGGCACCACAATTCAAGAGAGATATTGACAAGCTGGAATGTGTCCAGAGGAGGGCGACTAAAATGATCAAGGGTCTGGAGAACAAGCACTATGAGGAACGGCTTAAGGAGCTGGGCATGTTTAGCCTGAAGAAGAGAAGGCTGAGAGGAGATATGATAGCCATGTATAAATATGTGAGAGGAAGCCACAGGGAGGAGGGAGCAAGCTTGTTTTCTGCTTCCCTGGAGACTAGGACACGAAACAATGGCTTCAAAGTACAAGAAAGGAGATTCCATCTGAACATGAGGAAGAACTTCCTGACTGTGAGAGCCGTTCAGCAGTGGAACTCTCTGCCCCGGAGTGTGGTGGAGGCTCCTTCTTTGGAAGCTTTTAAACAGAGGCTGGATGGCCATCTGTCAGGGGTGATTTGAATGCAATATTCCTGCTTCTTGGCAGGGGATTGGACTGGATGGCCCATGAGGTCTCTTCCAACTCTTTGATTCTATGATTCTAGGTGGAGCTAATCCACGTCCTGTAGCTAAGCTTTCCAATGCAAGACTGACCTAAAATGGCTCCCTCTCCTCCCAGAGCCCTGGGGAAAGGGGTGGAACCAAAACTTAACAATGATTGATGGGTCATTGGCCCTATAATTGCAAACCAAGGGAAGCCACCTTATTGCAAAATGCATGGAACTTTGGAATACATGCAAACAAGAAAAGGAAGTTGGAGCTTTTGGTACAGCCGTACCAGCACAGCTGTGCCATAGGCCAGAATGAATGGAGAATGGTAGTGCAGTTGGGGTTGCTTTTGCCTTTCCTTTGTTTCAAGGTACTAAGGCTCTCTTTGGGAAAAGCAGGTTTTCTCTGTGTTCTGTTCATAAACCGTCCATGGATGAGAAGTAAGGGAAATGTGGCCAATCAGAATGTGGTTAAGATGGCAAGTGCTGTTGGTACTGAAAAGCAAACAAGAGCTAGGAGAGGCTGCAGCAGTGCTTTTGCATCTGGAAAAGCAAGATTCCAACTCCCATCTTTCCTCTAATCCAGTGGTTCCCAACCTTCCTAATGCCGTGACCCCTTAATACAATTCCTCATGTTGTGGTGACCCCCAACCCTAAAATTATTTTCATTGCTACTTCATAACTGGAATTTTGCTACTGTTACGAATTGCCATGCAAATATCTGATAGGCAGGATGTATTTTCATTCTCTGGATCTTGGGCGTTGTAGTTGCTGGGATTTTCTTCCTCTCTTGGGACCATTGGTTCTCTGACCTCACTATCCATGTCATTGCTGGATTCGAGGGTGAAGGCACCATAATGAACTGAAATGTCAGGAGGACATGGTGTCTGTGTGTGTGTGTTGAAAGGGACTGTTTGCTGTCCTGTGATGCTTTCCAATGCCCTGAAATCCCCTAGATGTTTTGTCTTGCTGTGGTAGGTGCTGGCTGCCTACCTGGATTACATGGTGGAGCTGGGGATGCTCCTAGGTGGAGCCAGAGCTTCCACAGAAGAACAGATGCAGCAGGTGCTGGAGCTGGAGATCCAGCTGGCCAACCTCACCGTCCCCCAAGATGAGCGCCGAGACGATGAGAAGATTTACCACAAGCTGAACATTGCTGATCTACAGGTAGGTCCTGACTGGACAAGGTCGATTGGGGAAGAGGAACCTGGGAGTGGGGTTGGGTACCCAATAAGGATGATCAGAACCTGTTTTGGTTTGGATTGAGTTCTTGTGGATTGGCATATTGGAGATTGTGTGGAAGTCATGAAACATTATTTGGAATCTTGAACCCAAACAAAGTTATCCTATTAAGTCTTCTCTAAACCTAGAGCTTTCCACATGCATTAGACTACAGGACCTGTCAGACATAGTAATTGAGCTGGGGTTTTGGGGAGTTGTGACCTAAGTGATCTTGACATCCTTAAATTGAGGAGGCTTTCCATGATCTGTGGACCTCCATCTATTGCAAGGAAGGTGAAAAGACACAAAAACATCCCATTCCGTGAGTAGTATAGTTCACAAATGGATTTTGTGGTGGTTGTGGTGGAGCTTCTGCCACTGAGTGGCTGGACTTGTTATTGTGTCACAAAGACCACAGTGGTACTTAAGAAAGAGTGAATAGATGAATCTAGGAGATAGGAAAATAGTAATTATATGCCTAAGAGGGCCACAAGCAAAGGAGAAGAAAAGATATTATGTGAAGTAGAAAAGTAGTAATATAGAACAACTTTCTGCAGCATGACACATTTCCAATGTGTTGAATTGTATCTACTGTGATCCCCAGCCACTATGGTTACTGCAGGGATGGGAACTGTGCGGCCCTACTGTTGTTGCCGGATTGCAACTCCTAATAGTCCTAGCTGGAATTATCAATGGCAAAATAATAATAATAATAATAATAATAATAATAATAATAATAATACTGAGAGCTGTACTCCAAACATATCTAGAGAACCACATTTCCTAGTCTACAGGAATGATGAGTCAAGAAGTAAATGGGGAAGGATAACTATGAACAAGGATAGATAGAGAGGTCAGGTGCATGCAGGGAGCCAAAACCCTATATGGGAAAATCCACAAGTAGGTTTGAAATAGTCAGTTTTTGGGGCAGCAGAAGCCCCAGGTTGTGCTTCCTGAGCATCATCAAGAAGCTAGTTGGACCAGATATAGATATGATGCTGTTGATATCCAGGAATGTTTTCCAGTTAGAAAAACAAAATTGGAAGAAGATTTTAAGATAGGAGGCAAAAAAGAGGAATAACAGGATATGGGAGAAGGCACAGGATGGATGAGGGGAGATTAGGCAGTTGTTCTGGAAAGGCTTTGTGGAGGTCCTTAAGGAGAAATTTGAAGAGGAGAGTAAAGTGGACCTGTTGGAGAATAGAAGAGAAAGGATCATTGGAGTCAGAAGCAGAGTGACATAGAAGAGAGAGCGCAGAAGGAGATGGCAAAGGTAGCTAGCAGAAGGTCACGTCACATGGAAGCCTGCCCATTTCTCCATGAGATACTCATTTCCCCTCTAGCAACAGTGCAAAAAAGATATCCATGTCATGCCATCTCCAGTCATTTTCTCTGTAACTTCTGCAGCTGCCTTTGTTTCCATCTGTTGAAGTGTTTACCTCTGCAGCCTTGGTTCTGCCCTGAGTTTCCCTCTTCCTTGACCTCTGATATTTTCTTGCCAGTGGAAGATTCATGCGTTCTAGGTTTTCTTCCCCTCTCCCTATCCACTTGCTTTTTGAGCAGCCTTGTGTACGTGCTTCTTCGGGTGCATAATACAATCTTATAGAGCAGACTTGGGCAAACATTCTAACTTGAGGGCCACAGGCTAGCACTCCCTGCTAAGAAGACTGGCTGCTGGGTGACAGACGGAAGGAAAGAGAGAAGAAGGAGAAAAGGAGGAAGGGAAGGATGGAAGGAGAAAGAGGAGGGAGGAAGGAAGGAGAAGAGAGGAAGGAAGGAAAAAAGGAAGGAAAGGATGAAAGGGTGGAAGGGAAGGATGGAAGGAAGGGAAAGAGGAAGGAAAAGAGAAAGAGGGAAGGGAGGGAGGAAGAGAACAGTGAAGGAAGGAAGGGGAGGATAAAGGAAAGAGAGAATGAAGGAAAGACAAAAGGGAAGGAAGGAGAAAGAGAAGGAAGGAAGGTAGAAAGGGAAGGATAGAAGGAAGGAGGGGAAGAAGGGAGGAAAGAAAGAAAGAAGCAGGGAAAAAGGTGGAAGGGAATGAAGGGAGGGAGAAAGAGGGAAGGGGAGGGAAGGGAGGGAGGGAGGAAAAAAGAAAGGAAGGAAGGAGGAAGAGGGAGGAAGGGAAGGGAAGGAAGGAAGGACGAAATGGTGGAAGGGAAGGAAGGAGGGAGAAAGAGGGAGGTAAGAAAGGAAGGGAGAAGGAAGAAGGAAAGAAGAAGGAGAGAAGGAAGGAAGGACAAAAGGGAGGAAGGGAAGCAGGAAGGAAAAAGAGGGAGAGAGGGAAGGAAGGAGGAAAGAAGGAAGGAAAGACAAAAGGGAAGGAAGGAAAGTTGAAAGAGAAGGATGGATGGAAGGGAAGGGGGAAGGAAAAAGAGAAGGAGGGAAGGGAGGGAGGAAGAGAACAGAAGGAAGGAAGGGAAGAGGATAAAGGAAAGAGAAATGAAGGAAAGACAAAAGGGGGGGGGGAGGGAGGGAAGGAGAAGGAAGGGAGAGGAAAGAGAAGGAAGAGACAAGGGATGAAGGAAGAGGAAGGAGGGAGGGAGGGAGAAAGAGGAAAGGAAGAGAAGGGAGGGAGGAGAGAAAAGAAGGAAGGAAAAAAAAGGAAGGAAGGAAGGAGAGAGGGGAGGAGGGAGGAAAGGGAGGAAGGAAGGAAGGAGGAAGGAAGGAAGGAAGGAAGGAAGGAAGGAAGGAAGGAAGGAAGGAAGGAATGAAGGAAGGAAGGAAGGAGAAAGAAGAGGCAAGGAAGGAAGGGAGCGAAGGAAGAAGGAAGGAAAGAGAGAGAGAAGGAAGAAAGGATATGATTGTGAGAGAGTGGAGGACCTGGGAAAAGAGCCCATAGGATTGCATCTGGCCCCTGGGCCTGGGTTTACCCATACCTGTTATAGAGGCAAAAATATCCAAGGACCCCATGATTTTGCAAGACCCCCTAACCATGTTTCTTTTCTGCAACATTAACACTAGGGCAGTTGATGGTCCATCATTTGTGGCATCTTTCAGGCTTCAGTCCTTGTTTCTGCATTTAACTCCCTGTAGGACTGTCCACATGGCCCTCCTCCCCATTGGCTGTTTTGGGCTTCAGTTTGGAAAGGTTTCTTTTTTGGAGCGCTTGGAGAGTTTTCTCCAATCAGCTCAGATAAGAGGGTTCCTGTGGCCGTTCCCTGCTGCCTTGAGAATTTTGAAGAGCCATTCCACTTCCATTTAGTTTCTTTGGAAACTAGTCTCTTGTAGAGAGGGGATGGTAATACCAGCTTCATTTACAAATGTAGAAGTAGATCATGCAGAGGCAAACGTTATTTGTTTCCATCAGGCCGTAGATTCACTGCCTCACGTTAGCGCAAGCATTATTCTAATAGGCAACTGGACACCTTTGTGCAGTAGAAGAATACAGCGTGCAGCAGGAAGCCTGCTTTTGTGTACTTGGGAGTGTGGGCTTTAATCAGGAACAACGCTATTTCTAATAACAAATAGGTAAGAAAAAGACACAAAAAGCAAACATTTCAAGATTTTTTAGAAAAGCCTGCTTAGATCATAGAATCGTAGAGCTGGAAGGGATCACAAGGGACAGCTGGCTCAACTCTCTTCTGCCATTTAGTAACACAAACAAACAAAGCACTCTCAACAGTTTGCCTTACTTTGCTTAGGCAATCCCTTGTAGGCAAGGATGGTGGTCCTCCAAGTGTAGTGTCTTGGCAGTGGGTCCGCAGTGGCTGTGGAGCCCTGTTCTTCCACAGTGAGGACATTGGTTTCCAGGTGGGAGGCAGTCCCAGTCAGGGTTGGCATGCTTTTCACTTTTGCCCTCCATTCATGCCTCTTTGAATTCTGCAGCACTGCTGGTCATAGCTGACCTCCAGTTAGAGTGCTCAAGTGCCAGGGCTTCCTAGTTCTTGGTGTCTATACCACCATTTTTAAGGTTGTTTTAAGCCCATCTTCAAGTCTCTTTCCTGTCTACCAACATTACATTTCCTGTTCTTGAGTTCGGAGTAGAGTAGCTGCTTTGGGAGATGGTGATAGGGCATTTGGACAATGTGGCCAGTCCAGTGGAGTTGATGGTGTAGGAGCATCACTTCAATGCAGGTGGTCTTTGCTTCTTCCAGCACACTGACATTTGTCCACCTGCCTTCCCAAGACATTTGCAGGATTTTTGGGAGGCAACACTGATGGAATTGTTCTAGGAGTTGCATTTGACATCTTTAGACAGTCCATGTTTTGCAGACATATAGCAGGGTTGGGAGGACAATGGCTTTATAAGCAAGCACCTTGGTATCCCTATGGATATCCCGGTCCTCAAACACTCTCTGCTTCATTTGGAAAAAAACTACATTCGCAGATCTCAGGCAGTGTTGTATTTCAGTGTCAGTGTTGACTTTTGTGGAGAGATGGCTGCCAAGGTAGCGGAAATGGTCAGCATTTTATAATGTTGCACCATTGAGCTGTATTTCTGGGATTGGAGAGAGGTTGGCCGGTGACTGTGGGAAGAACACTTTTTCTTGATGATAGAATCATCATGGTTTTCTTGATCATAGAATCATAGAATCAAAGAGTTGGAAGAGACCTCATGGGCCATCCAGTCCAACCCCATTCTGCCAAGAAGCAGGAATATTGCATTCAAATCACCCCTGACGGATGGCCATCCAGCCTCTGTTTAAAAGCTTCCAAAGAAGGAGCCTCCACCACACTCCGGGGCAGAGAGTTCCACTGCTGAACGGCTCTCACAGTCAGGAAGTTCTTCCTCATGTTCAGATGGAATCTCCTCTTCTTCTCCTTCGAAGCCATTGTTCCGCATCCTAGTCTCCAAGCAAAGCAGATAACAAGCTTGCTCCCTCCTCCCTGTGGCTGCCTCTCACATATTTATACATGGCTATCATATCTCCTCTCAGCCTTCTCTTCTTCAGGCTAAACATGCCAGCTCCTTAAGCCGCTCCTCATAGGGCTTGTTCTCCAGACCC